GGGGGGGGGGGGGGCGAGGACAACTGCGTGCGCGGGGGCGACGTCACGCGGAAGGGGGACTTACCGACGTACCGACATTTTTTTTTACCGCCATATTACCGGTATTTTTTCCAACATATTTATTTTTTTACCGACATATAATTACCGACATAAATGGTAATTTTTATCGACCCTGCGATCTGTTTTTACCGACATATCTTTCCACATATTTTTTAACATAATTTATAGTATATCGATATAATTGACCGTTTTATCAATACTTCCCTCTCCGCTTTTCGACGCATTCGCGACCTTTCCCCTCCTTTTTCGCAGCGGTTCGCGAACGGGCCGCGCCATCTATCCCCCACCCCGGCCACCCGTCCGCGGGCCGTCTTCTAGAATATTCTCGAATATTTCAGAAAGTTCGACACCTTTTGAGAACATTCGGTCCCGAAAAGAATTTTATCTAATGTATGCCTACATATATACTTTGATGGGAAGTAAAAGAGATCCTTTTAGTTTTTATTTTCAACAGCCCCCGAAAAAAGAATTTTAACTAACACTAATGTATGAGATTATCGAATACCTACGTAGATATTTCTTTTTTCAAAGGTAGGAATGGAAGTAAAAGAGACATACTTTTTTAATAAAGTAATATATTTTTCAGAGTGTTATTTCACTTATTCATAGCATCACACATAATATTTTTCAAGGTGCACGCTAGCAACTCGTAATCAACGAGCGACTCACAGTCATAGTCGTTGCTTTCACATATCGCTTTTGTCGCATGATATATTTCAGTAATGTCCTTCTCTCGAAGAACATTTACAAAACTTCGGAATTTTACACTAACGAGATGCGTATTTTCAGACAACCTTACATACATATGATCGATGCAATTTTCATAAGTAAATAATGTGTTCATAGTAGCAGGTTTCAAATATAAAGACTTATTAGATAATGTAAGTTTTATAATTTTGGAATCGCGCATCTTACAAAATTCCACTACCAAATCTTGAATCGACAGCGGAGATGGTTTGCCAGTATGTAGAAGCCGTTGGATGTCGATACGTCTTCCCATCAGCTTTCTCCAAGTTTCTGTAGGTAATATTAATTGATTACCGCAATTGTCACCGAGGATTATTTCCACGGTAGGCACAGGTCCTACGCTGATCCCAATCTCCAAATATTTGTACGACGTTGCAGTCAGAGCATATTTGCGTCCCAGGATACGAGCAGTATGACGTGGTTGCGAAGTGCTATAAAAAAATATAACAAAAGTTAAATGTATGAAAAATAATTTAAACGTGCATAAAAAAAATTTGCATGATATTTACTTTTCACATCTTTTCTTGCACGGTGGAATGTCATCATGTTGAACGGGCAAGTAATAATTTGCGTGTTTAGCGTTCATTTCAGCACTGTACATTTTGATTTTTTTACTGTATTCGGGAACTACCACTGAACCTCGTCTATATAGAACGATTAACGAAACCATAGTCTAAATATTACTAATATAGATAAGTCCCCACCAACATTTTTTATTCCCTCTCTTATTCGTCTTCAGAATTATTAACACATGTATTGATACATTTTCCAAAACAAGATAATAAATCCATGACACAGCGTCGTAGTCAATCAATTAAGCAATCATTCGTCGATGAAGCAATGTCAGCCATGATGCATTACAGCGCAAGAGAAAATGATGTGTAGTATTTATTACTGGTATTTTTTACCAACATATTATTACCGGCATATTTATAATTTTTAACTGATATTATCGACCTTCCGTTTTTGTCCAGTCTAGAATATTTTAGAATATTCGAGATCTTTTGAAAAGAACATTCGGTCCCGAAAAAAATTTTATCTAATATATGCCTACATAAATACTTTGATAGGAAGTAAAAAGAGACATCCTTTTAATTTTTATCTTCAACAGCCCCCGAAAAAAGAATTTTATCTAACAGCGATATATAATAATTGTAATCAGGATTATTTCCACGGTAGGCACAGGTCCTACGCTGATCCCAATCTCCAAATATTTGTACGACGTTGCAGTCAGAGCATATCTGCGTCCCAGGATAGAGCAGTATGACACCGTATACACGATACATGTATTTATACATGTTGTCGAGCGCCGTCTAATCTGGCTGCTGATAACGAATTCTTTACAGTTGTAACAGGCAAAAGGATATACACATTCTTTAGATAGGGCGTAACACAAGGATTTTAGTTTGAGTTTCTTTGGCAACTTTAGGGAAAACTTTGGGGGGCGCATATAGGAAATAGAACATATAAAATCAGGAAGATTTTCAGCGCGCGTTTAGTCCAAGCCTCAGACAATGATAAATATTGAATGCGAGCAACAAGTTCTTGCTGAAGACTATACCAATGATAGCAAGAAAATAAAAGTTTTTTAAGTGTACCAGGTCTGTATGCGTAATAGAAAAGTATATATGATATAGTTAAAAATAGGTGATAATCTTTCAGTCGAAGAAATATTCGACGTATTAGACGATGAAGAAATGAGTGATATGGATGTGCAACCTATAAATGGCAACAACGACGACGACGAAGAATTTCCCGAAGTGATGGAAGTGGGCAACAATTTCGAAAGAATACTCGATGAAGAGTCATCTGATGAAGAACATATACTCGCAGGCGACAGTGATTATCATAGTGACTGTAATGATCAATTTATGGAAAAAACTGATAAATTAATATATAATTCGAAAATCAATGCGCTGAATGGACGTACAAAAATGTGCTGTAAATATTTTTATTATTCTGCAGGAGGTAGTTTAGCATTATGTACTTCATGTATATTGCGAGTGACAGATTTATTCACACATATGTATGCAGTTCTAATTGAGATATATGATGCGATAGACGGAAGATTTTGTTCAGATTGCAAAGGACCGCTGTTTCAAATACTTCCATGTAATTTGTGTCCTTTATGCACCTAAGGACGTTATAAAGAAGAATGGGTACTAGAAGAAAGTGACTATAAAAAAATCATATATATCAACTATAAAAAAATCAAACAATCAATTTGTGAAAGTGCGTTTTGTGAAAAAAATGGAAGAACTCGCGCGAGTTGAACGTGAACTGCAGGAGCAGTCCGCTCGATTGAGTTCGCGAGAAGAATATATTGCATGGGTGCAAAAGTGCGACGAGTGCATCGAATCGTTGCAAGGACATAGTCGAGCGAAACGACCGAAATTATCGATCGGTGTTTGACAATCGTTGGTTGCTCGAATTGCGCGACTGGA